CGGCCAGTCTAGCCGGAGGCAGATCTACCCATTCGCCTCGGCCCAGTCGACTCCGCGAGGCTCGGCCGAGGGTCGCGAGATCAAGTCCGAGCCGGCAGAGACGACAGTCCTCCTGCCGGCGGCCACAGCGACCGGTCTCTGTCGACCTGAGATGCGGAAACCACCCGGTCCAAGCGACACCAACAGCCTCTCGGCCGCCCCTTCATTCGTCAGCCTCGGCCAGCTGTCAACGGACCTTCCTCTTCTTTACCCTCATCTTGTCGAGATTGTTTAGCTAAACTCGGATCCCAATTCAGGTGGCTTCTTTACTGAGAGCCTGACTCTGGAAGCGACCTCCAATCTTCATGTACCACTTATGGATCTTTTCCTCCGGCGATTTGGTATACAAACCAATGGTCAACTTGAGTCTTTTCCTTCTACATCCTTCCACTCTTTTAATTCCCGCCTTTTCAGAAGGAATTTTCCTCTTCTTCATCACTTCAAAAGTCAACTTTCCTACAAAAACATAGAAATGAGCCGGTATTCTATGTCCCCCATGATCACCTTCATATGATAATGTTTACAAAAATTATCTCCCCGTCTGTCTCAGCATCAAGTCCAAAATTACGTATGATTCCAAATGCATACCCGCTCTTATATGTTCTTATATATAAATATATATATATATATGTATCTATATAAATTTACCTTTATCCATCCGTCAGCATCTGTGTCTGTACCTACAGGTGGGTGTTTGTGTATGTAGGAAAGCATACAGGCAGCTAGTTAGCAGTCAGCAGCAAAGGTCCAGGGGTGAGTAGGAAATGGAAGCACACGAAGGATATATGAGACTTGGCTAACTTGTTTCCAATTACTTCACTTGGAAACCTGTGCATTGCTCGCATGACAAAATATGAACTCGATTGCCCTCTCTTCAAAATGACCCACTTCCATCTTGTTGCCTTTCAGAAGGCTGATTTTCATCTTTTCTCATAACTTAATCATTTTATCTATAGCTCTTTTCATAAACGTTCAGCCCATCATTCTTCCGGTTTATGATGTACGTGGGTCCTCAAATAACCGAAGTTTCTAGATTCCCATGCATATTCCAAAGAGGAAGGTAGTGGCCTAAGTCTAATACAACCTTTCTAAGTCTGCGCGCCAGAAACGCACTTTTCGAGGTTGAACTTTGCTAATCTAGTTTCTCGAAAAGTTCTTCACCCAAGACCTTTATATAATATGTGGAATAGAGTTTTTGTACATATTAAGGGATTATTAATAATCCATATTATCAGTGTAAATAACTTGAATTTCGCAGAATGTACAACTTGTATTTGAAATGACATGGAGTCGATGACTCCCAAAACCGAGTACATCCTGCAAGCAAACTACACACAGCATCGCAATTCCGAGCTGATTTGGACTACTAATGTTTTATCAGTAGTCCATTCGCTATCATTATCAATAGCGTAAACGGCAGTTCACATTTATAAAGGTATGCTCACAAACCCTTTTAAATGGCAAACCGATTTTTCATATATATATATATATATACAAATAAAAGTTATTTTCCAGCCTTAATTTCTCAATTTTCGGTAGGGTTGCAGTAAAAAATTATTCGCTTAATTCTTTCTCAAGACCGGTGACATTTTTCGTGAGATCTCATGAGGCCATTGAATTTCAACAAGTCTTTTTTGGCAAAACGATTTCTCATAAAGGTGGGTCTATATAATCAATCTCGTGTCGATATCATCAGCACCTCCAAAGGGATTCAGATAATATTGCATGCGTCAAGCGGCTACAGTAACATTCCACTATACAGTTCGACCCGGTTAGAAATACCATTATGGGTGCTGATAAGCTATAGAAGGGGAAGAAATAGTAGTTTGACCCAGGGGAAAAACTGCCAGGAAAACAAGGCTAAGAGGAATTTAATGACATTGATAGGCCCAATCATCTCATTATATGTCTTTAAATCACCTTAAGCGGCCTAGTATGACTATGCTCTTATTCAAGCCGATTCGAGGCCCATGATTTTCGTCTCGAAACATTCTAGACTGCACCCAGACTGCCACACGGTTCAAGGCTGGCAGAAGGCATTGGGATAATAGCGAATGATGGAGAACTTGGAAGATTCCTTGAAATCGCCATGAGCACACAAGTAATCTGCGCAAAAAGAGGTCAAACCAATACTATACAACGAAAAGAGATCGCCATGATACATAAGGCCACACCATCTTGGTACTCATACCTTCGATTTATCTCTCCACTTGTTGAGCTCACCTACATTTCGAGTGAAAGTGTTTGGTGAAGAC